ATTTGCAAACGTTTTTTTTTTTGCATAGGAAAGGGCGTGCAATAATTAAGAAATATGCAGGTGTTGACATTTTTTTATTTGACGTGAAAATGACTGTTATTACTGGCCATGATATTGAGTACCATCAAGCTCGATCACGTGAGCCGTCACCGAAAGGCAACTCCAGCAATCTTCTCAGTGATGCGTTGCTTCAGTTCAATGATCGTGCGCGAATTTTCGAGTTATACCTGGTCTTGAAATGGAACCACGCAGTCAGAAGGCGAGTGGAGTCAGGTCCGACGACCTGGGAGGCCACTCGATCGACCCGATCCGGCCTTTCCACCTGTCTTCAAAGCAAAATGACGCTTCACTTCGGAAAGATTTCCTTCACAGATAGAAATTAAATTAATGATGGCGACACGTTCCTCCAAAGAAATTTCATCGGCATTATCAGAAAACCATTCGGATCAGCAAAAATTAAAATAAAATAATCGTGAATAGGACGTCCATTGTACCCTAAATATCACTTTCATGTTGGGAAATGTTGCTTTTCGTTTTGTTCAGGCTTATCCCATTTCTAGTTGGTATTTCATGCAAATTTCCATGTTGTTTCGTCAATTACCGAACGCTCTTTCATGACCAAAAAACCGTTTGCAAATTAATGCCCCCTTGCTGAGTTATAGCTATTCAAAGTCGTCCAGTGACTTTTGACTCACCTTGTACATTATCTGCTCTCTTGAATTTGCGTTTGCGTTCTTTTTGATTGGTGATATATAATCAGTAGTTTTAAATCTCAGAATGCTGTTCAATGTCAGTCACGTTTCATTAGATGGCCGGTAGAATAAATTGTTCCAAAACCCAGAAAAGCATCTGAATTCATATCAGTACTATCATCATTAGGCGCGGTAGCGCCTATTACCTTCTACAACCCCTTCCCGACACAAAATTCAACCCCCTTGTATTTCTCTCTGAGAGTATCAATAGGAACGAAATTTGGCAAGCTTCTTCCTCTCTCAACACAGAAACACTCCAGCAAATTTGAAGCTCCATCTCCTCGGGGTTGAGATCACTGAATCTCGCCCTTTGAAGAGATGAATTTCATTCCATTTCTTTTCTCCTTATACCCATTCATTTTGCACTTTTGCGCCATTTGAGGAACATATTTGCATTAAAAATTCTCTTGAAATTTGATGATACAAAAAGGGTTAATTCAAATTTGAGTGGTTATCCCTTTGCAGAAGTGCAAGGAAAGCAGTCATAAACTTCGAGATACTTCGGCAAATAGGGAAGTTTTGCCCAGTGGATTACGTCGACAGGTCATTAAATTGAGATTGGAGGCGAGTGCATAGTGTAACCTAGCATCCCATCAAATCCCTTCCATCTGAAAATGGAACTATATTCTCCCCGTTAAGGATGGCATACGAGACGATTTTCTGCAAGTAAATATCAAGCAGAAGCACGCCGCAGCATGTGCGAGTGTCATCAGCAGCAGAATGACAAGCGCCTCAAAACATCAAATGCCATCCTATAATCGAAAGCTGTGCAATTTGCATCGAGTTAAAAATTTGGAAGTTCTACAGAGTAGAAGCAATTTTCACAACCATGGGGAAGATAGATGGACATTTCCACAAAAAAATTATGATGCTCCCAGAAACATTCACTTTTTACCCCTGTCATGCAAAATGGTTGCCATTTGGGAACCATGAGTTCCCAAGAAAAAGTATTCTACCCTCAATAAAGAAATTGTCTTAATTTACATCTATGGGTGCAACCTATCTGTTGACTTCTTTACAAAGTTTAAAATGTGCCAATAGGGTTCCTAAAGACATCTGGAGCAGATCGAGAAAGGGAATTTTTAGGGATTTTGAAGATTTTAAGAATGAATAATTTCCAGAAATTCTTATTCCAGCTATTTTTTTTAAAAAGGTTTTTGCAAGTTGGATTAAAGGAAGTACCACTAAAACGTTGAAAAGCATTCGATAGAAAATAAATGTTAGATTGCCAGCAAAATTGATGGAGCTGCATTTTTCATATTTTAATTTTTAAAATCAATACATTTTAAATTTAACATGCACATTTCCCTTGCCTTGTTAAATTAGAAAAATTTAATGTAATATTTTCCCCAAGGTTAAAACATAATTTGGGCATGAAAGGACTGATGAAGGAAAGCTTGTTCAGAACAAGCATCTGCATGGCACACAGCAAGAAGTTGAAGAGCAAAAATTGGAATGCTGAGTATAAAGAATAAAAGTTCAAATATCAAACACAATAAAAAGAAAAGAAAGGTCATTAATGAAGCCTACAGACAAAGCATAAGGAGGTTATATAAATGGACACTTCATTTGAATCCAAGCCAAGAATCTAAGGATAAAAAAGCTCTCATTCCATGAAAATAAATTCCTTCACATGGAAACTAGAAAGAGTACTACTAGCAATGTGAGGAGTCAGAATCACAAATCACCAGATGAAATAAAATAGGATGCACTTTATTGTCATATCAGACAAGTACACCAGGATCACATTCAGCACCAACAAATAAGCATATAAAAAACAAAAACAAAACCAAAACCAAAACCAAAAATTATGTAAGGCACAAATACAGGCTGTCCAAAAGGTTGCTTTCAAGGGGTAAATTTTCCATATGAGAGAGAGAGAGAGAGCAGATATTATGAGCATATGAGATGTTATGAGCTGAGGGGTATGAAGAAACAATATTCCCCCACAAATGGTGCAATTTTTACTTCTGAGGCCTTTAGAATACTAAAGGGTACAAAGAAAAAGCCCAAGCACTTGAACTTCAAGCCAAATCCAGAAAACTGCAACTGACATTGATGTGGTTGACAAAGGCAGAATTAAGAATTTTATATATTGAGGGAGATCCCATTGAGTCATTACAAAGCATAGCCTATGTTAGCACTGACTTGTCTCCTTCACTTTTAACCTTTACCTAGTTTCCCATAGTGAAACCTGACATTTTTGCTGGATGACATAATGGCTAAAATCACCTGCATGGAACATTGAATGAGCTTCATATTTGACACAAGCATGGCTCCAAAATAAAGCTAGATGTAATTCATGTTTGAACTGTCTTATGAAACAAAGGAACTCAGGATAAATTGTCCCAGCACATAATTGCCATTTACAATCAGCTCTTAGTAGAACCCCACAGCTCCTCATTTTTGTTCATGGTCATTCAAAAAATTATAAAAGAATAAGTAATAAAATGTCAGAGATTTGTCAGTGCTTCAAGTCATGGCTCAGAGGAGTAATGTAAGCAAATCTTGTCATTCAACACTGGCATGAGCTCTCCAATAATATGGAGTAGCTTCAAGTCAGGCCAATGGAGGACTCTATTGGCACCGTGTGTGCAATTTCCTTCACCTTTACCTCCAATATAGCCCAACCTGACTCCTTATCATTTATTCTTTGGTACAACCATTGAAGGACAGAGACACCTATAAACACTCATAAGCGAAAAATTCTACCTTCCCTCTTTAGAACCCTACAATAGACAAGGAAAGCCATATTTCCCATAAAACATTGATAATGAAAACTCCTCCTCAACTCTTATCCTCATCGCATGAATGCAAAAAATGTCCAGAGAAATACATGAATGAAGATATCAATTTTCTCATGGGTACATATTTGACAAAAATTTCTCTGAGAATCAAAGTGAATAGGGGTTAAGCATGAAATAGGTATAGTTCATGTTCCACCTAAGGAAATTCTGTACCTATCAGTTCAAAATTAAATCAATGAAAATGACTTGTATGGGTGAAAAATAGACTGTGAGTTTCCTTCAAAGTTTTCTTTTTGGTTGCGCCTGGATTGAGTGACTGCAGTTCTGGAATGTGGGAAAGAGTAGCCAAACCATCTATCATCTTGAAATTCTCCTTATTGCCATAAAAAAAAGTGTCCATATGATGTGAATTTAAACAGCTTGTACTTACCAGAGATGCTTGGAAAATAATTATGCATGACTCAAACACCTTCTAAATAACTTCATCCCAGACTTTCTGAAGCTTTGATCAACTTGCTGCTTTGGGTCAGGCACAAGTCTTGATCGTTCAATGAAGCACTGAACAGATCAAGGGCAGGACTAATAGCTCCACTGGTGTAATTGCTTCACACATTGAAGCTCATGTAATTCTCAATGGAACAGAATAAAGGAATTTCATGCCTCAGTCTTACATTGTCAACCTTTTCATAGTTGCCCTTGATGTTGGCAGTAGATGCAAGAATGGGACTGAGACTCATGGTTCATCACAACTCTTTGACATCCAACAGGTCCTGTCCTGTTTCCCACATTGCCACTCATTCTTTAAATACATAGAAACATGGGGAAAACTGAGTTTCAACATGTGAGGCCACATTACACATGTATGCATTTATGATAGCCCATTACAGAGCAGTTCCCAACCTTATTGAAGCAAACCATACTTTGCTTATTCAAGATTCCATCACCCATAGTCATTGGTCAATAGAAAAGAACACAAGTTGGAAAAAAATTCTATCTGACAATAACTAAAAATTTATTTCCTGAAATTATTGCCCTAGGCAACCCAAACAAATATTTCACATCAATCCAAAAGTGGGTTGTGGTATATAAGTTAGGAACTGCTGCTCAAATGCCTCAAGGAAAGCATTGAGCTACTATACCTGTATGAATTAATGTATCTCATACCAAAAGGCAATGTCCATGGAAGTAACATATTATGCACCATTCCTCATCTAGATGGATGAGCTGTTTTCTCAGTACATTGGAGACAATAAAATATATCAATATACCAATCATATAAAACCAACCAATCAATTTTGTTATTTAAAAAACTGGCCATTTGGAAATAATAAAAGGAATGCACAGGCATTTCATAACATGCACACATAATTATGCTAATTACTGAGCTTGCTTTTCAAGAATCATAAGCCATGAGATCACTTTTTCTCTAACTGGGCAAGGCAAAGTATGAAAATGATGAAGAAGGGTGACTAGAGTTGATACATCAAATAAGCCAGAGTCCTCAAGCAAGTGCCCCCGTGATGAAGCAGGATTTTGTGAAGCTGCTGAAAGACCAGAATTTGTATGTGTCTGATGCAAAGAACTGGAATGCATGTTTAGTTGGGCAGGGAGAGTCTGCAATGAAAACAAATGTTTTTGCAATGGTTGAGATTGACCCTGATGCATTTGTACATGACATGGTGGGATGGGATTTCCCTGTGAGAGCTTTGATGGAAGTTGGGGATGTGCTTGTGATGAGGGTAATTGAACACAATGCCCCACATCTTGTTGTCCCACTACATGTGGACTATAACCACCTTCAGCAGAATGCAAGAGGTATTTCTCTGTTCTGGTGCCAGATTGGAAGGCTGAACCCCCAACTCTTCCTCTGTATTCATGGAGTATTGCTTCAATACAGTTTTGGATATGTCTACTGGCACTATCAGACAACTGCTCAGAACCTGGAGTTGGCTCAGTATTTGTAAAAGACATTGATGGTTCCTGTGGTAGAGAGACAGAGATACCTCCTTCCATTTCTTTCTTGAAGGCTGCTTCCTCCTTTGGTCCAGTATGGAAGTCATTTGCAAATTCAAGGACAGGATGCAATAGCAGGATAGCCTCCTTGACAGCTCGCAAGTGAACTTTACTCACAAGGTCAGGAGCACCAGCAGCCACCTGTGTCAATTGGTCATATGCTTCCTCCAAGTCCTTAAACACAACCTGCTCTTGAAGTAACTGGAGGCAAGAACTCTGATTTCGTTGAATGATTCCATTCACCAGCTGGAGGAGGTACTGGACACGTTTTGCCAGTCGATTTCCAAGCTCCTGATCCAATCCAATCAAAAGACACAAGCACCTCTGAAGAAGTTTCTCACGCTCTCTGATTTTTGGGCTAACCTGACGCTTCCTCTTCTGCTCAAGATAATGCTCACATGACATCTCAGAAACTTGCTCTACCATGATGATTTTATCTTCTATCATAGCCAAGTCTGGGGAGATTTCACGAGCAGGTTCATCTAGTTCATCATCAACGTGAGCTTCTTCATCTATGGTGTTCTCATTCCTTAATGCTTCAGCTGAGTTATGAGAACTCTCTCCACTGCATGATTCTTCCTTGTCTGTGTTGCAAATTGATTCCTGTGGTTCATCATCTACTCGATGTTTCTTCTTCATCTCCAAATTATCTGGGAAGAAAAGAAAAATACAACCTGAATAAAATTGACTTTAGGAGAAAGAGATCAATATGGCATAAATACAGGGTCTAAATATTATTTAGAGAGTTGGACTGGCGACCTAGGGGCCCCTGCACTCCCCCACCTATCCCCCATAATGCAGACCAAGGGCCCATGCACCAGGTACAGGGGTCCCCCAGGAAATTTCCCAGCATCTTGGTGGGCCAGTCCATCCCTGCATAAATGACTGAATTTCTTTCTTTCACTGAGTATTCTGCACTTGTTTACCTTTCATCTCATAGTCCTCCATCCACCCTTTCTCATGCTTCCAGTTTTTGGTGGTTGGCAAGTTGGTTGGTGTTTTCTGCAGATAAATCACTTGCCCATCTTTAACCCAATCATCATCTTTTCCCCACAATCTAATCTTCTATGCAATGTCTATCTCATTCATATCTTCTGCAATATGCTTATAGTGTTCACTCCCCACTGCACTTAGATTATTAGTGCTGATTAATAATCCATTCACATGAGAGTTCTCACTCAGTCATTCCACTCAATCATCTCTCATTTTGTCATTAGGAACATCCTAATGCCAAATCAGTCCTATCAAATGAAAATTGTAGCACTGAGTCAGTGACTCAGGAGAGCAAGGAAGAATAAGAATTTAAAAAATACTCCAAAACTAGCTTCACCTTTCAGGGGAGTAAATGCACCAGGTTTACTTGATGTGTAGCGATGATCATGGCGGTACTTTTCTGGAATCACTGGATAAGGAATATGCTTCCTCTGCTCCTTATAGATGTCATATGTCTGGAAGAAGGAACAACTAAGCATACATAGGAAAACAAAGAAATAATAATATCATAAGTTAAGATGCCATCATGACATCTCATGATTTTGACCCTTTGGTGAGGATGATTGGAGAGAGAGAGAGAGATAGTGTACAGGAGTGTAAGGTTAGTTAAGTCACATATCTGTCAGTTACATTCAGAGGTGGTGCCCAGAAGTTACTTTTGGTATTGTTGCTAGCATTGGCATGATAGTGGTTCCATGTAAGAAGAGAACAAGAAAGAAAGAAGTAATGCAAAATGAATTAAAGTAAACATCAGTACATAAACAGTATTAGCCTGGCTTTGCACACCACTTGTACAGGATATGCTATTTCCTATGGGCTACCAGCCAACAGTGAAGCTACTGCAGGTAAAAATTGTTTTAGAAAAACTTCAGATTTTTATTTTTTAACTGATGCAAAACTGATTTCAATTTCAATACCTGCAGTTAAGAAAACCTACAGTTCTAATCTTGACACTTGAAAATTATCTGCATGATTTTAATTCTCATTGTTTTGACTCCAAAAACCCATTCACAACACATGCGAGGAGGTGCCACAGCACCAATATCATAACAGAAAGCATTGTGCATAATCAATTGATATTATTAAACATTTCAAATGCATGAAAGATTAGGAAGGAGGCAAAGGATAGATTGGCTAAAAGTTGACAAATGGAAACTCCAAAGGATCTTGTCATCCAGTGTGGTAGCACCATCACCCCAAAGCTGAAATTTACACATTCCTGAGCTAAAATAAATACTAAAGATATTATATTAGGCAAAAACTCTGGTATGGCACCTCATTGTAACTTTTAAAGCCATTTATCTATGAAGTGGTTTTATTTTCAATCAGTAAAAATTGAATTTTGGCAATGGACTTTATAAAATTGTAGCAAGTTGGCAACAAAATGGATACATTTCTATACTATAGCCTTGTCTATTTCTGAGGGATCAAATAACAAAATGCTCTGATTCAAACATTTGGAACACATTAACAGCAATTTTTTGGGATCTATTGGATGGAAACTACATATCACTCATGTGTATATAATGGGATATAAGACAGATTTTTTTTTTTTTGAAGCAATGGGTGCTGATGGATGGCCAAGGTTACATTGAGTATCAAACTGCATGGGAATGGGATGAATTGGCAGTCTGATGTGATGAAGCCTCCTCTAAAAAAGGGAACTTGAGAGTAGAAGTCTAGGAAAAGTTCTGCTGCCTGCAATCCTGGGAATACCTGCTGGCTGACTTTTGGTTTGCTCCCCTCAATCTGCTGCTCTCTGCCTTGAGGGTGGGAATTCAAAATCCCAAGCTTGGCTGTCCCACTGAAATTGATGGCTTGTGAGCAGTGGCATATTTTGGATGAAGGGTCAGGGGGAGCAGGGCAGCAGAGTGGGGACATCAAACCCCACCCCACCCAATGATATCAGGGGAGAAAATTATTGCCTCCAAGGAGGCACCAGATGGCCCCCCTGCCCCTCCTGTAAAATATCCCACTGCTTGTGAGCCATCAACCTTAGGGTCACAGAATACACCTGCTCCTTCTTCCATCCATTACCATCACTGCCATAACTGGTTGCCAGTGTCACCCACCCCTACTGCAGGCCCTGATCATATAGAGTCTGACAGGTGACTATAAAGTCACAGGGCAATACCAGTTGGAGATTCTAATATTATTAAAATGTCTGGTATAGTAGTGAGTGCTTGACTAGGGCACAGCCTCAAAAGAGATATTTAAATTTTTTATGCTTGCAGTTATGTAGGGTTTAACATGATGGCACCACTGTGCCAACACCTTCCATCAGCTGGCTGAAGCTGACCAGGGTATTTACTTGCCACAAGGCAATGAAGCTTCTCAAGTATGACTTGCTTTTGACAAAGAGGGAGAACTGATGGATGCTACGAGGAAAGAGGAGAAAAGGAAATGATCCCTGATTCGTTTTTTGTCAATTTGGGCACAGGAAATTTTAACCCTACTTCTACTACATTGACTATGACATCATAACGTCTCCATTGCTGGGTTGTTTTGCGCACTCAACCTTAGTGATGCAGTCCTAAACAAATGGCTCTATCTCCTTCATTAGTAATTGTAACATAACAAAACCTACATCTAACATATTGAGAAAACCCTCCTTTCAGATATGTTTACTGAAACTCGAAATATTCCGGGACCCGCAATACTACGGTTAAATATTTACAAGTCTTCATTTACTCCTATGAAAAAATCACTCCTGGGTCGGGGAAAGTGTTGCCGTCAGGAGAGATCCTTTCTGGGCTTTCTTAAGAATAAATTCCTATGGCTTAGTACCAAGCCTGGCAATACTGTGCGACGCCAACTCAAATGGGAAATCTAGGCTATAATCATATAAAATACTTTTATTCGCTCTATTTTCAACGAATCGGTCAACATTCATGTTCCTACATAGGCCTAGATGATAAAAAAATATCAAAAAAGGCCTCGTCAAAAAAATAGGCTTTCTGTAGCCCATGATGCTCGGATATAACTTGTTGGATGCACACGTCACCGATTGAGGTTGGGATGTTGGATAGCATGTACAACGGCCAGAGGGGTATTAATTCATACAAGCGCTTCTTCCTTTCCAGTAATCTCCCCTCCGACAGTTGTGCATATATAATGAGACTTTGAATGGTCATGACAACGGGAAACATCCCAAGAAGACGATGTTTAAAAAATGCAACAATAGATTGGATTTTCTGGTACGGATTATAAGACCAATGAATCCTAGACCTCAGGTGTTCTTCAGACCTCGTTCTCGAAAGGAATGGGCGAAGCGAAATAAAACTGTTTTCGGGAGTGTTTTCGTTTCTTTTGGTGGCTCTCATGTATTATTCAAAGTAATTGCATCATGGAAGAATCGTGTAATTGCATCATGGCACCCAAACGCCCTCTCCTCATCAGCTTCTTTACAATGTTTTGGAGCTGTAAAGTTAAACGTCAGGACTAAATGATGAATAGAAAGTCTTCCCAAACTGTGTTCTCACATGTCTGGCACGCACTCACGCAAACCTGTTTCTTGCTGGACGATAGATAATACGTCCTCCGGATCTAACGCAGCGTTACGAAAATGATAAAACGGGTGAGGATAAGAATCCGTTTGTTTTGATTGAGTGAATGCAGCTTTGTATTCAACCTTGTCACTCAAAGTTTTCACCGCCGCATCTACACTCTACATACCGTGCACATTCTCAAATGCTTCCCTCTCTCATTTTCCGATCATCCTACACTGCACACATCCCTACCTGCTCTGCACTGATTTCCTGTGCGCCAGAGACTCGCAAGCTCGACCGTTTTCTGGTCCTACGCCTGTGAGCGTACCGATTACTATGGAATCATTCTCTTCAGGATGTTTGGAGGGGTCTAGTGCGATGATAAGAATGAATAGGGATGGCATAGAGAGAAGCGATTGAATGTCCTACAGCGGTGTGGTGGCAGTGCACCTGACCGGTTATCAAGGGGCCTGGATTCGATTCCTGGCCTTTCCTGATGTCCTTTCTCCTCAAATGTCTTCGTACTCTTCCCTCTAAGAGTGTAATGGCCACTGGCGTTTTACTAAGCCAAGAAGTTGAAAAGGGAGCTCCGACTCTTGGAGGAACCACTGAAAAGGAGTAGTGTAAAGGACACCGTACTCCAGAGCAGTAGCGTGCCCATGATATCCGAATGGGGGGGGGTTGCCACGTGAAACACTAATTACCCACCCTAATGGGGGGGGTTGAAAAATGAAAAAACTGATAACCCACCCTGTATTTGTGGCCAAATTAAAAAAAAAAACTTTTGAGAACCGAATCTGTAAAATTGACCACAAAGGGGGGGGTAATGACCCACAAAACACCACCCCCCCCCCCCTTGGCCACGCCACTGCTCCAGACTATTTACTCTCCAACAGATACTCAAGAAGCAATTAAAGTATAGTATGAATACCTGTAGTAGGTTTACATGTTCCTTGTGGACCTCAAAGAGTCGTATAGCACATACAAATGACGTTTAAGGTTAATCAGCATAAGCCAACTAATATAAATTTAAGACGATACAGCAATATTTTAATGCTTCAAAATGAATTAGTCTACAGCTGAGAAAAGATTCATTCTTGTTTTAACCTTTATCTGGTTTCACGCAGAGAAATCAGACATTAACGTCTGATGACATAATAGCTGAGATCTCCAGTATAGGATATTAGAGGGGCTTTATATTTGACACATGCATAACATAAAAGTACAGTTGAATATTTTTCAAGTTTCAACTCTGTATTACAAAACAAAGGAATGACAGCATGTGAAAAACAGATGAACTTGGGAAAAATTTTCCCAGCGCTTCCCGTGTGGGATCCCTTTACGTGATTGGCTCTCCAAAATAGAACCCCTTACTGCTCGTCGTCGTGCAGGGTCGTTCATGAAGAAATAAAATGCTGAAATGATACCAAATCGCGTAGCAAGTTGGTAATGAAAGCCTTTCTCGTCATTAGATACCAGTATAAACTTAACATTAACCTTTACTAAAAAAAAAAAAGTTATTCAGTTTGCAGATCAATAACATTATATAGAGACTCTAAGTATCGCGTTATCCATCAAATCTGGTGATTAAGCGATAAGTTAGATATTCTTCACACAGCAATGAGTTGCATCCCATGCGGGGTAAGGCGTACAGAGAGCTTCATAAATTCTCACAGCAGGATTAGAGTGGGTCGCTTCTGCTTTTTATGCCTTCTCCTCCCTAATCCATTGAAAATTCCAAGGCGGATCACCCTGAATACCATGAGCCGCCCCCCCCCCCCCAAAAAGGAAAGTTAATTAACTCACAAGGTTGCAGAGGGAATACCATGGATGATAGCGATAGGAAACTTACATGGGTTGACACCCAGTATGAGTTGGTGATAACGAGATAATTTAAGCGAAATTGGTCGTTCAGAATTCGAGTTTCAGCTTTTTGTCCGTGCGATGTGAAAAAGGCGAGTGAGCAAACCCTGGATGGTTCCTCCCCACACGATAGTCCTTCGAAAGTTCAACAGAGCAGCCAGATCCTCGCTCATTTGACATCGTCAAATAATAGCTGTTCACAAGCTTCTGAAAAGCCAATTTAACTTACAATTTCGGAAAACGATCTGCACATGTGACCATGGGCGTCCGCTCCCAGGGGCAAGGGGGGGCACTTGCCCCCCCCCCCCCCCTGGAAATCGGGCATGGCAATTTACTGGTAGTACTATACAAGAAATTTAATGTACTTCATGTGGAAATCTCTTCTTCCGTAGCACCATTTAGACCAATCTTGCCACGCAATATGAAACATCCTAATGAGTTAAAAATTCAACTCAACCCATCTGGTCCAGAGGTTCCGGTAACACTACTGCTCTACATAACATCACGCCAAAGCTGAAGATCGTACAACATGGAATGCAAGTATCCCAGGCTGAATGGCTATTTCACGTAATTTTTGCAGTTACATTGTTATTTTTTTTATAACCAAGGTGCCTGTTGTTTCTCTTCGAGTAGAAGACCCTCCCAGCAAACAAGGCTATGTTGTACCAATGTTACAAACATTGATTCAACGTTATGTGTTTCAAATTGTTTGCTGGGCTGTCTCATTGTCTGACATAAGAGTTGCATAATAGGTCTACAGGTAAGGGCTACTTTGAGGCCCACAATTTCTGTCGTTGTTTTTAAGGCGAAACATTTTTCCTTTGATTGCAGTTACGAAGAAAAAAAAATGAAGAATTGGTAATGAAAACTGTATGGTTTGTGGCCTTAAAAACAACGGCAGAAATTGTGAGGTGGGATCTGAGTAAAAACGTGTGGTATGCTTTTAAAAAAGTATATGAGCTTTGAAATTGCTCTCATCTTTTGCTCAAGTAAATGGCAGACATTCTGCAAATCTTTCAATTTTGTTGAGCTGCATAGAAAATGGCACCATACAATTGAAAACTGTGGGTTTTTGCGAAATTTGTGATTTTGAACATTTTGAGCCACCACATCTTCTTAAACGGAATTTGTTGGGACAAAAATGGGATACACATCATTAGATCTTCTGCTGATTCCAAAAACATAGATGAACATGTTGACATTTTACAAATTTTTGAATCTACCAAAAATAGGCAAATTTTACATAGCTTTATTTTATTCAGCCTTGAGGAGAAAAGTAAAATATATGAAATAACTTCGAAAGTCTGAATTTTGAAGAACAATGGTGTTCGCTGTGTTCGTTTGGTCAGAAAGTTTTTGGCCCGAGTGTGAAGAGGTGCACCTTTTTTTAATTTCACAAAATTTAACAAATTATTGTGCTAAAACGGTTCCATACCCAAAACTAAAATTTTACATTCTAACTTTGGGTCATGAGGGGTACCACATTAAAAATTTTCATCAAAATCAGAGGGGGTCATGCTCCAGCCACTGGCTGACTTGAGATGGAATTACCCTGGTATAATTCCTTGTACTTTATCATCATTTTACAAAAGATAAATTACCCTTGTGTGTGCATCTATTCTGCCATTCTTGTGCCTTGCCCCCCCCCCCTGGAAATAAACCAGCGGACGCCCATGCAT